GTGCCTCCAAATGTCTCTTCTGCCACCTGGCTGGAAGAGGAAGCCTCCGGTCATCTCTTCTCTTCCAGGTCTTTCTACATGTGGTTGGTTTTGGACAGAAGCATTGAACTCACCCCAGTCCCAGTCCCCTGTGTCTCCAATCCCATTAATTCTGTCTCCTCTTAACATTTGGCAAAAGATCAGAGTCCTCAAGTAAATCCTTTAGGATGGCAACTCTTCTAAATGATAGCCTCTAGGTTTAAAGCAATCAGTTCTAAAGAGAGCCCTAGCGCACCAGGTAAAAGGTGGCAGCAACACATGCTCATTAGACTGTAATGGAACAAATAATTAACTGGCAGAAAAAAACAGCAAAATGGCCATATCTAATCATAAGCTTATACTTTAACTTGTTAGATGCAAGCATTGCTCCTTCTCGGCTTGAACTAATGTGATTTCTCACTTTTTATGTTCAATACATCCCATCTGTTTGACAAGAGGATGAATACCCCAGGTTTTATTTGAGATTAACAGCATGTGATTTTGTTGAGCCATGTGCTTTAAACTTTTAGAGACCTAGTAAAATCAGGTGGCTTTGATTTATGCTAATGTATGGTAATTGTAAGTATCATTACACATAAATTCAGCTAAAACTGAAAAATTGCAGGCATTTCATCTGTGTCACGTGTTTGTTTTAATGAATGATTTTTGAGGAGGTGGTTAGAAATTTACCTTCCAACACGTTTAGGGTGGCTGGCTGGCTGCTTTTAAGCATTTGGCGTCCTGTAATGACAACCCCTGCAGTGGGAAGTGTTTGACACCAAGTCAGTGCAGCTGGCTTGTGCCATCATGAACAACATTGTGCCAAGTTATTAATAATTGAAGGAGCTTGTCATTTCCTGCTGAATTTTGTGTGTAATTTATGGATTATGAGCCCATGCTAAAATCTCAGGGAAAGTTAATTTCATCAAATGAGAAAAAGATAGGTTTATATTTTATTTCTCATTCCCTGAAGTTATGTCTATATCTGTTTTCATCTGGAAATATTGTCAGTGAGTATGCTGGTTTCCTGTCTTCATCACAGTTAAACTTACTTCTTCGGGGGTGACAGGGAGATAATTTCAAATTCCTGCTTGAACTAGCTGGGACACCTTGGACAAGTCTTGAGGCTCTCTGAGTTTTTATCTGTAAAACTGTCGAGATAGGCCAGTGTTCCAAGGTGTGGGTTGTGGAATCTCTGTTGGCGTGTGGTGTGATTCCAGCTGGTACCAGAGACCCTGCCCTACACTACATTGAATCAGGAGCTGTAGAATAATTTTCTTTTCTATTCTCCTTTAATTCATGGGATCTCTTTGAGATGAAAGTTTGAGTTTGTGTCTAGGGTCCCTTTAGTACCTCTCTAATGTTGCTTCTCTCCCTGTTTAAGAGAGAAAAGTCCTCAGGCTTAAAACTGTTCCTCTTGTTAGTATAGAGCTGAAAGTTAATATTATTGCTTTGGTTCTAGTGTATTTCTATACCACTCCCCCCAAAAAAAACCTTTTTATTTTAAGAAATTTTAAACCTATGGAAAAGAGGAAAGAAAGGCACAATGAATACCACATGCACTTCACCTGGCTTCACCAGGAATTAACTTTGTGGAATCTTGCTTTTTTCCTACTCTCTTGCTCCCGTGATTCTCTCCCTCTCCATGTGTGCTCAGAGAGGGATCCTGTTCTGCTTAACTGTGGTAGTAAAGTGAATCATAATCCCCAAGTTATATTTTAAAAAAAGGTTTCAGAACTGAACTGTGTTTTGAAAAGCCAGACATAGCCCAGTTTACTCCTCCAGGTGTAGTTGGGTTTACTATGAAACTGTTTGATGCTAGTTCTGTAGAGTAGTTATTTTTGTATCTTACAAATAGTTACTTTAAACAACAGAGATCAGGAGAACCATAATACAAGACTTGCATTTTCATTTGTTCTAATAACTACTAATAGCTCCTGTTCAATTAATTATGTTTACCACGTTTCATATTTGGTAACGCCTCAGAGTAATCTTATCCCAGCCATTTCTATGCACCCAAGACATCGCCAAGAAACAGGAAATCTGCAGAAAATAGACATGGAGGAGGCCAGTTCCCAAAGCCTAGGGGCTGCGTTCACTGGCAAGTCCTCCAGGGATCCTTCTCGTAAAGCCACTTTACTCTTATTTTATGGTGGTTCCCATAAGCCTCCTGACCCAGAATAGAAAGAGAAAATGAGACTGTTCACACTAAGCAGGTCCCAGAGGCAGGAATCTGACAGCAGGAGAGGAGAGCAAATAAAAGTGATCAGGCACCAGTAAGAACCTTCTTCTGTGCTCGGGACTTTTCGTGTAATCACACAGCCCTGTAAGGTAGATGAGGAAGCTGAAGCCCCAGGTGCTCAAAGTCACTCACAAGCAACACTGGGATATGAATGCAGGTCTGTCTGGCCCAAAGGCCACACTCTTTCTCTTGGGAAGGTGATGAAGATCTGGGGTCATAGAGTGTAGGACACAAGCTGGGACCCTTCTAGGGAGCCCACTTAGACTTCATTGCACAAATGCTCACATTATAATGTTGGGGTTTATCATGATGATCTGGAGGCGTCTAACAAAGGTTAAATTTTGATAGTGGCCCTCATGCATTTTGCTGGTGGACATTACGGTGGGGATTCTCTCCACCAACCTAAATTTAGCAGAGTATCCCAGGCCCTGAAACCCTGGAAGGAGAAACACTCCTTTGCCTCATTCCCTGCTACACTGTTTGCATCAGGGACTCTGTCCTCCCCTTTCACTTTCTACTTGGGCTGCAACCAGGTCTCCTTGAGCCTCCACACCCACAGGGGTGGCAGGAGAGAGGGGGGAGGGGCTCCCTACTGTATTTTGTTGATGGTCCTGACCCCACAGCCTTTCCACTGGTGCGGTATCCCTGGGGCATGTCTGCTAACTCACAGTGGTGGAGACCCAGGTCTCTTCCCAAACTTCGTACTCTGCCACACAGTTCCATCTGTTCCTGTACCTTTTCCATCATCTGTTGAGTGTCCACTATGTGCCCGGCACAGTGGGAGCCAGTGGGGACATCACAGTGGTTGGACCTGTCTTGGGGAGCTTACACTCTAGTGGGAAGTGCAGACGTCGTACAGTTCATGATGGGGGAAGCGCTCTCTGTGGAGGGAAAGGAAGAGTGCTTACGGTTGGGATCATCACGGAAGGGGGAGCCAGTGGGGACATCACAGTGGTTGGACCTGTCTTGGGGAGCTTACACTCTAGTGGGAAGTGCAGACGTCGTACAGTTCATGATGGGGGGAAGCGCTCTCTGTGGAGGGAAAGGAAGAGTGCTTACGGTTGGGATCATCACGGAAGGGCAGGTGTGGTCGTGTGCCGCAGATCTCAGAGATGAAGTGGTGCAATAGAACACCTCATCCCTGCCCAAATCCTGCAGCCCTCATGTCCAAGGTTAGATGCCACGTCTCCCACAGAACTTTCCCTGATGCCCTCCCTCCTTCCCCACCAGCTGTAATTTGCCCTTCATCCCTCTGAAGAGCTGGTGTCTCTTCTGAACACCTGCTGTGTGCCAGGCACTGTCAGAAATACAGCTGCCGCCCAGACACAGAATGTGTGGCCTCACCAGGAATCAGCACCACAGCTGTTGCTCTCATGCCAAGCGCTGGCCCAGATGCCTGCAGGTTTTAACTCATGACCCCAGCCCAACAACCCCGTGAAGTGGCTGTAGTTACTATTCCCACTTTGCCAATAAGGATGCACAAGGGAGGTTAGTACCTTGCCCAGACATAAAGGACACAAAGAAAATCATCAGAGATGTGGTGAGTGCTGTGGGGTCCTCGTGGGAATGTGTAGCGGGGACCTCGTTACAGGGAAATCTCCAGTGAGAGTTGGTCTCCTGTCATAGCTATGAGCTCAAGCTTGAGAGTCAGACTCTGCTTCCAGTCCTGACTTTGCCCCTTATTAGCTGTGTGACTTTAAGTAAGTCACTAAAGCTCTCCGGCCTCGCTTCCTGCCACTGTAAAACAAGGACGCTGATACCCACTTTATAGAGTTCAACAGAGTCATCTGGGCACGGCAGAGTGCCTGGCAGGTGCTGAGCTCGGGAGATGGTAGCTTACTGCTCCCTCGTCTCTGATCTCACTTTGACTTGCTTTGTTAGACTGCAGCACCTTTGTGAAAGTGTCTGTATCTGATTCAGCCTCGCGTGCCTCCCCCAGGACCCTCCCAAGGGCATGCATTTCTGTTAGGTGCTCCGTGAATATTTGTAGATGGCAGGAGTGAGGGAGGGAACGTGTGAGTGAACAGCTGTCACCACATGGCAGGTACCTCTTTTTGCTGAACACTGGATCCAGTCTTCTGACAAAAGCTGCCTGATGCAGCAGCTTTAGCAGGGAGCGTGCTTTTTTCTCTGAAGTACCCAGCCAGCAGCGTCTGGTGGTGTCTGACTCCACAGTGTTGGAAGGGACGCAAAACCAAGCACAGCTTGATTTTTATGGTTGCACGTAAGAGATGGAGCTTCCGCTGCTGTCACAGTACCCAGCCAGCAGCGTCTGGTGGTGTCTGACTCCACGGTGTTGGAAGGGACGCGAAACCAAGCACAGCTTGATTTTTATGGTTGCACGTAAGAGATGGAGCTTCCGCTGCTGTCACTTCAGAAGTTTTGTTTTGACGGCTCAGCCGCACAAATTGAGTGGAAATGGCCATGATGGAGATAAACAGGCAAGACCCAGGTGTCAGGATTTAGGACCTTGTCTTTAGAACAGATCCACCTGTGGCCGTGCAGTCTGTGAATTGCTAGATTGAATGTCACAGGAGCAGCTGTTCAAGTGCAGGCAGGCTGCTGGGTCTCCATCGGAGCAAGAACAGATCCACCTGTGGCCGTGCAGTCTGCAAATTGCTGGATTGAATGTCACAGGAGCAGCTGTTCAAGTGCAGGCAGGCTGCTGGGTCTCCATCGGAGCAGGTCTAATCTGTGTCCTCTCTTTGTCCCCCATCCTCCCTGTGTCCTCGCCCTGCAGGAACGGCCTCACCAGCTGCCGGCTGCGGACTGAGAGCGAGCCATCGTGCGGCTCCCCGGTGGTCAGCGGAGACCCCAAGGAGGATCACAACTACAGCAGTGCCAAGTCCTCCAATGCCCGTAGCACCTCGCCTGCCAGCGACTCCGTCTCCTCCTCCTCTTCCTCGGCCGACGATCACTATGAGTTTGCCACGAAGGGGAGCCAAGAGGGCAGCGAAGGCAGCGAGGGGAGCTTCCAGAGCCACGAGAGCCGCAGTGACACGGAAGAGGACGACAGGAAACACAGCCAGAAGGAGGCCAAGGATGCTCTGGGGGACAGCGGGTATGCATCCCAGCACAAGAAGCGCCAGCACTTCGCCAAGGCCAGGAAGGTCCCCAGCGACACGCTGCCCCTCAAAAAGAGACGCACAGAAAAGCCCCCTGAGAGCGATGACGAGGAGATGAAAGAAGCGGCCGGGTCACTCCTGCACTTGGCAGGGATTCGGTCCTGTTTGAATAACATCACCAATCGGACGGCAAAGGGGCAGAAAGAGCAAAAGGAAACCACAAAAAATTAAAAACAAGTCACTGATTTGTTTTGAACTTATGGCCATTTGGTTTCAGCATGTCAGGAGATTTCTAATGATTTGTGGCAATATCAGCAGTTTTTGTTTGTTTGGTTTTCTTTCTTTTCTTTTCCTTTTTTTTTTTTTTTAATTTGCCCCCTCTTCTTTGTTTTGGACCCTTAAGAATTTTATTTTTAAAGGAGATTGAAGCCATAGAACTCATATTGACACTCAGCTGTTTTACAAAAGCTTTTCATTATCTGAAGACAAAACCGAAAAAGCCAAAATTACCACTGCTTCCTCCAGCTTGACAGAAACACATGGCTGAATCTGCAGGGATGTCAACGTTAATGCCACAGGAATACACGTTCGGCACCTAGAAGGCACGTGTGCAAAGTAATCACCGTTCAGGCCCAACCCTTAGGTTTAAAAAGTCAGGATGGCCATCCAATTGGGTTCACGCAGTGAAGGCACATAAAGTGATCGGGGAGCAGGAGGAACCCTTCGTCCCCCTAGGAGCAGACCCAAGCTTGTGGCACCAGGCATCCGATTGTGCCAGAAAAGCACTTGACACTATCAGCCAGCAGGCACGGGCGCTGGCCACCAGTCCTCTGTGCTTCTTAACCCCGAAGCCTGGTCACGTCTTGTGAGGTGGACACTGGACTGACCGATCATATGCATCACGGGTCAGTGACTAATGCAAAGAAACGGGGTAAATTTTTAGTGATATTGCTGATCATTGAATTCTGTTCTCTATTAAACTAAGAAAATGTTCCTAAAGCCATAAGCCTAAAGGTTGGCCCCGCGTGTGCACATGCGTGCACGCACACATACCAGACACAACGCACACCAGACACAACACACACACACAAGAACGAGAGTAAGAAAACTGATGCAGAAAACAAGCTATGTCTTCTTAACTGCCCAAGTGAAAAGCAATCAAGTCCAAGCAATTACAATAGCTGTTAAGGAAGGAAATAATGGTACAGATCTTTTTCTATCAAAACTATTTGATCCAAGTGAAAAAAAACAAAAAGCTACGGAACCTGCCATTAGTATTGGGGTGTATTTTAAAAAGATTAAAGGCACATTGATGGACAAAAAGAAAACATGGCAAAAAATAAAATAATTCCTATACTGCCCTCCAAATGGAGTTTGCCATTAATTTCAGTCAGGATTCATCTTTGCAAAAATTACTGATTTCCATATTCAGCCAGTGTAGCCAGCAGAAATTTCTGATCCACAATGCATGGATTCCTTTGAAGAAAAAAAAAAATCACAAAAACAAACTTTTTTTAATTCAAAAATAACAAAGTTCTTGTAAGGTAAATAATGTATTTAGCATGAAGCATGAATTATTTTCATATAAATATAGAAAATAGAGAAAAAGCTATGCCTCTAATTTTTAAGCCCTTAGGCTTAGAGGTTCTTTTGGTTTTCTTTTTTCTTTCTTTTTTTTAATCCTTTTCTTTTTGTGGTTTTTTTTTTTTTTTTTTTTTTTTTTTTTTTTTTTTTTTTTTTTTGGTTTATTCTGTTTTGGTTTTTTGAAGCAGGTGTTTAAGGTTTAACCTTCTTCAGGGACAAATTCTGACTGTTGGGGAACTTACTCTGCAATATAAAAATATCTTCATGCTCTGGTAGGGCTTGGATGGTTGAACTCTGTACTGCCTTGTCTGCACTCAGCCCCCGACCCCCTCTGATTCTCTGTTGAAAAGTGTGTCCTTTCTCTCTGTCTGTACATGTTTAACATGACGCAATAATTTGAGGGCAAACTTAGTAGTGAGTGTGTATGATAGAATCAAGAGAATTATGGGACGCTTACCTGAGAAAATCATTACCATGATTTGGTTCTAGGAAAAAGGCAGTGAATAATTATGCAAATTCACCAGAAGAAGGGGAAACATGCAAGTGGGCCTTATTGGGTGAGGGTACGAGATAGGGGACACGTGAAGGAGGAAGTGATACAGGGGTTGGAAAGGCCAGCCCCAGACGTTTCATTGCGACGCCACCATTTCGCAGTAGAAAGGAGGGGCTGGCCGCCTCTACCACCTCAGTACACTAACCAGCCTGGAATTAAGACCACCTAGATGGTGAGAGCTGAATTTAGACGACCAGATGATGTCATGCAGACCAGAAACTCCTGTTACCTTTGCCTAAAAAAAAAAACAAATTTTTTTTTGGAGATCCAAAGAGATATCTCTCAAAGAATATGATCTCTCATCCAAATGGAGGGAAATTTTAAAACAAGCAAAAGCACCCGCTATTGTGGCTCAGGATATGATGCTGGGGGAGAGGGAGGAAACTGAGGGGATTTTGAATTTTTAAAATGGGACTGACTCCTGTGGGTTGCTGATGAGAGAACAAATGTACACCTATAGGGGAGGTTGAATTCATTACCTGAACCTAAATATGTCCAGCATATTTGTCCAGGGTGTAGATGGGAGTAAAGACGTATTTTTGCAGTGCTCTGTCCCCTCCATCTCCCCAAGCATCAGATACCCTAAAAGTCATCCATGACTATGGAACCTGAGCGACACTGATTTGTGTTGTCACTTGACAACACCTAACCCTCTACCACCTCAATCCTCCACCTTTACTCCATCCCCAAGATGATAAAATACAAACTTCTCTCCTGAAAACAGAGGCAAACATTCAGGACCGTTTCTGGCAGGGGACCTCTTCCAATTAAAACCCCCACAGTGGGCTGTCTCCCCTCATTTCATATCTCTAAAAGGGCAACGGCCTCTTTTAGAAAATAATAAAATGCAATGTGTGTGATTTACTTTTCTGATCTCTTTGAGAAAATAGATAAATATCTTACAAAAGTGTGTTCTTAACTCCAGAACCACTCTTTTTGCATAAATACCTCATCGGGCAGCTTTCTAAGTGTTATTTTCCTGAGTTTCCCTTGGCACCTTCGTGGAATCTGCTGGAAGACTTCTTGGGGAAACTTTAGTGAGGGTACTTTTTTCTATTTTTCTTCTGTTTTTGGAGGCATACACATTATGCATAACCAAAACAATGGCTCAATTGTGTTTAACTTTGTACTTTGATTGTTGAAGGAAAAAAAAAAAAAAAACAAGCAAAAAAACTGGTTGGCAGTTTTTAAAAATGAAGTCTTATGTGGATTTTAGCACCAATTCTCAAGCTAGGTCCAAAGACGGGCTTCAGAGTTATCTAGTAATCCCTTAAGAATGTATGCACCATTTTATCTAGTTCTGCATGTGCATTTTTCCAAAGGTATGCTGCTTTCTTACAAATTCTCCTGTAAAGAATTTTTAATTCCAAAAGATAAAGAATCGCAGATATAGAGGTGAAACAAAACTGTTAGAACTATTCAGTAATGAGGTTGTCCATGTCCTTAACAAGCCAAGGGACAGGAGGCACCCTCCCTTATCCCCTCCTCCAAGAGCAGTAGAGAATTTAAGCACAAGCTTATTTGTGAAAGAATATTTTGCTTAAGTGTAATTCACATTAGTCTTGGAATTCCTTCCCAAACGTCAGGTGTTCTTTTAGCTTCCAAACTAGCTTACGTATCCATTAGTCTGACAGAGCACCCAGCACCATTAAGGGGTGTAGTGTTTTGCGTTCCCTTCTCCTGCTGGGAGGAGTGGAGGTCCATGTGTCATTCCAATATCTCACATACTCATGGGGTGGGGGGGTGGGGGAAACAGGGGACTATAGCAATATTTAAAGATGCTTTGGAAAACAACCGTGAACACATCAGCACCATGACATCTACAGTTACTTGCTATTGGCCCTCAGACACATTTAAGAGAGAGATGTAGCTCTTTTTTCTTTAATGATACATACAGACAGTTATTTGTATCCTACTAGCATTGTCTTTTATCTTTATCTAGTACGTGGAAAGGATTTGCATCATAGATTTTTTTCCAGCCTTCTACCAGAAGCTCCTACTTTCCTTCCCCCCTCTCTAATGAGTATACTTTCAAGAGTTCTATGGTAAAGCCGTTTATCTGAAACTGAAATGAACCAAACCCACCTTCAGATGGTTGGTGGCTGGAGAAAGTTATGGCCAAGACAACTGTGTGGCGGGTGTCAGTCTTGGAGCTGAGTTTTTAAGAAAGAATGTTCCAGAGGCCTTTCCCAAGAACAGATTTTGGGGGGATTTTTCTTGTGGAGGCGTTCAAGAGGTCTAGTACCTGATGGCCACAGTAGTTACTACCACAGGGCACTCTGGCGGAGCCATTGCATTGAATGGTGCTCTCGCCTGAGGGACAGCTTCGGGCCACGGGCTCTGCAGATTGAAAATCATGCGGGTGGCTCTTCTGCGTGGCTCAGAGTGCTGCAACGTACCAGGGCTGCTGGACACCGAGTTTCAATTATGCCACTCTTGGGGTGGAGGGGGCTTTTTGCCTCTCAGTGGAGGACTCTGAGAAGGAATCAGAGTTACGTACAAGTGATCTACATGGGAGGGTTTTCCATATGACTTTGGATCAAATTCAATTTGATTTCTCTTTCCCTTTATACTTTATTCAGGTTGGGACTCATTTCTTTCTGGTGGATCACAGCTGCCCTGATGTTGCGATTTATTTTTACGTTTTTGTAGAGAAGTACTTTTCTTTCATCTTCAGGATTTTTTGCCACCAAAAGAAAACATTGGAACTCTGTGTCCCCTCTTGATTGTGGCTTACCAGTGTTGATAGTTAAGTCCTTAGTGTGATAGGTCCCAGCCCACCAATACTATATCAAACACTGTTATGCACATAATGCAGCACTGTGATCTAATTTAAATAATACTTTTTTATTATTTATACTACTATATATAATATACATCAACACTTTTGCTATATAACCTAAGTGATAACCCTCTTTTAGTTACCTGCCAAACTCTGGACTTTGGTTTCTATTGCAGTTAACCCAGTTACAAAGTTGTAATGGTGTCTTTTTTCCCTTTGTAACGGAATGTGTAAATCAAAGTATATACATTGTGTGGTGTTCCTGTTTCTGGAGTTTCATGAGGATTTACACATGGCATTCAGTGTTGTGTATAGATCTGCCTACCTTCCTGGGTTCACCTGTTAACCCCTCTTCCTTTGGGAGAGCTCCAGCGATGGTGGTGACCTCCTGTGTTTTCTCTCTCCTACTGGTTATTCTTGAATTAAGCACAGACTCATCAGCTCGGTTGCTTTATCATGAATAATGTGTGTGACCTTGCGATTCTTCCACAGTTCCGCAAACAAGTGCTAGCTTCACTGACCAAAAATTAAGGAAGGAAAAACACAATTTTTAAAACGATCCATCTTTTCATGGCTGAAACCGATGTGTCTATGGTGCTGCATCTTGCTGTTGTGCTTCTGAACTCAGACCTATGTGAAAGACCATTTCTGACCTACTGTGAGATGCTCACAAGTACCTTTCCTGTTGTTTTGTTAGCGTTGAAATCAAGACTATTTATTTGGAATAGATACAACAGTGTTTTTCCACTGTATTTCATTTGCAAAAGTTGAGAACAGCCTTCTCTGCCTTTTGCAAAGAATCGATATTCCATATTGGATTCTCAAAGACTTCGATATGGTGAACCTATCAAACCTAGAAATTGTATTTCATCCTTTCATGACTGTGGCCTGAGTTCCCCAACCCCTCCCCCCTTTTTTAGATGAACCTTAGCACACTTTCAGTTATTTAACATTGAACATTTCTTGAGTATGTATGTGGAGGCCATCTAAGCTCATGGCCGATTCAGTAACCAGTTTCATGCTGTGTCATTCACACTCACTACTTATACTGCCATGGTGAAATGTGGAGGGAAAAAGTATCTGT